CGTTGCCGCGACACGATTAGCATGCAACCGATTACGCCGAGTGCATAGTGTATGAACAATTTTTCGGTACAGTCACGACTATTTGCCTTCTGGCATCTTTGCAGCATTTAGCGTAATGCGAGCCGAAATTTCGCTTCTCGATCCACGTCACAACGACGGAGGTGAGCTGAGACAAGTCTTTACTGCCTTGAAAGTTCTGCTTTCCTTTTTCGCTTAATCTTCGCTCGGCTTCTAGCCCTAATCCGTGCTGGTGACATGACCCTCCACTTCGAAGAGACAGTTGGTAGGGGGGAATACGTGATGTGGTCTCACCGCGAACCGAATGAGGATTGCCGCTAAGAGAATTGTGCTTATAAGTTCTCGGCTCACCGTCCTGCAACCCCGATGAGACTGTGCTAAGCTCTCGTCTGTACTGTAAAGGACATCATCAGATCGAGAATCCATACTTTACGAAATAGAGCAAAAATATACTGAACAAAGGGAAAGGTGTCACTTTTTTATACACCTAACTTCGCGATCTTGATGAAGCATTCCATGATTTGGTTAGCCACTTCAACCTTACTTTACATTGATGTTGTAGTATCTTTCGTTTTGTTCCAAGAGGCGAGTGGAAGGGATTCGTAAGTTGGTTCCACCGGAGGTTGTGGGGTGTTGCCTTGGAGCTGTGGTTGTAGATTTGTGCGAATAGGTCCTTGGCCCACCGCCCTGAGACCTCGATGAATCATGGCTGAGCTTTCGTCCGCCATGTGGCTTCTTTATAAATAGGCCTGATGTCCCATCTCCTCAGTAATTTGCCTATCTTCTTCGACAGATTACACGATGGCAGCATATGAATTCTGGTAGAGTGATCTGTGTTTTTATCCAGCCCCAAATATGCATTTCCCTTCATCTTATTTGGCAATATTCTAAAATAATTGTCAACCAGTCATCGTGTATTATTATTCTCGACCATAATTCTCCTCAGTCTCCTCAGTTCCTGATCCCGAGGTTTAACATCTGCCAGACGCAGGCTCCTTAATAAAAAAGATTTCATAACTCCTACTTTAACTCCACAAGTGTGTTGGAGAAGAAATTCAAAAGGAAACCTGCATTCGTAAGCTCCTACCTAATTTGATTCTTTTTTTTATGGAATCTGATCTTATGGATGATACCATCTGTGTCCGTCGTACGACAGACGAAAACTTATCATGCTTTCGCCGGAATCGGAGGAAATTACCTCGGAAACACCACCAATTGGGATGTTCTAGTAAAGCCAATCGACAACCGGCCAATCTCTTCACAAAACACTTTCACCTGA